CCCCCCCCCCCCGGCCGGCGGGGGCGGAAGTGTGAAGGCGAGGGGGGGGCGGCCTTCATCCCACGTGGTGATTGGCCACAGACCCCACCCCACCCCCAAGGGCCTTCCATCGTTTGTGAAATGGGACTGAGTCTGGGGTGCGGGGACATTTCCTGAAAAATGACACGGGGTGAGAGCTGAAGGATGCGAAGAAGTTAACTCAGGGCATCCTGGGAAGAAGGCTGGATTCTGAGCAGGGAGACAGAGCCCAGTGAGATCAGGGCCCAAGGCCCGCAGGGCACAGAGGGGAACCAGTGAGTCCAAACTCAGCTAGGGGAGTGACAAGGAGGCGCTGGAAAACTCCTGTGACTGGTGCCAAGGGCTGGGGTGCAGGAGGGAACTGGGGGTGGGGGGATGAGACTCCTCTCTGGACTGCAGTAGCGGTTCCACAGCGGCACAAAATACAGAGAACTGGATACCAGGGAGGGTGAATTTCACTGTAAGTTGCCTCTCAACTAGCCTTGCTTTATAGTTTTTTTTTTAAAAAGAGAAAGAAGCTGGCAAGGTGGGCCATGGAATGGTCCTTGCCATGGACCCTGGCAAGGGATTTGGTCTGAGCAAGACGGACACTTGAAGCGATTTTGGAGGGCCCTCGGTGGCACTCACCAGTGTGACCTCACTGCCTGGGACCTCCGGGGTAGGCTCTGCCTGGTGCCACAGACACGGTCCCCCCTCCCATCCCGCCCCCGGGGCTGCAGCTGCTGATCCTGGCCTCCCTGACCCGGAAGTTAGGAGGATTTGCCGTTCCTCTAGGAGATTAGAGTCACAACTGTGAACTGCAAGTGCTGTGGGAGAGGAGAGGGGGAGGGGTCTGCCTCCCTGTGAGTGGCAGGGAGTGAGCCCACCTGTCCTGAGCGGGGGCGGGGGAAGGGGGGCCTGCACCCCACACTTGATGCTGACAGCAGAAGCAGACCCTCAGGCCATCACCACAGCCTCGGGGTACATCCTGAACGCAAACCTGCTTGGCCAGTCTGCACCCAGCTAGGCAGCGACCGTTCTAGCCGCTTCCCCAAAGGTCTCCAGAGAAGCGGCGCAGCAGAATGGAACCGAGAGCCCTCCCGGGGACGCGTTCCTGGGTTGACCAGCTCTCCTGCACGCGCCGCCCCCCGTTTACCTGGGACGGCCAGAACCAGCTCACCCAAGCTGTGGGCTGACCTCAGCAAGGCAGTGGTGGGCCCTGGGCGCCTAAGGGCTCCACCACACAGCGATGCCTCAGGCCAACTCACACGGAATCTCTGGATTCAGCCCTGGCCACAACGGTGTGAATTTTTAGAGGACCCCAAGTGGCTGGGAGGCAGAGGCCAGGGCTGAGACCCACAGCGTGAAAGGATGCCTTCTCTAGACAAACACTGGCAGGGCTCGTATCCTAGGAGCTGGGGCTGGTCTCTGCACAATGCGCCGGGACAAAGGGAGCCCAAGCGGTAAACCCGGGAAGCTGGGATGGTGAAAGGGCGGGCAAGACCGGGAGCTGCTGAAGGCGCCCCATCTGGGTCTGGTCACAGCCAGAGCCCCGGAGGGCACTTCTCCCAGAAGAAAACAAAACACGCGCTTCACTACCTCACATGCTGTAGAATTCCTGGGAGAGAAACTGCCAGACACCTCGAGCACTCAGCTCCTTAGATGTTATCAATGTAAACCAGGTCCAGACCTTCGCGGGGCTCCTGCCCTCACTCGCCGGGCTCTGGCGCCACCTTGCGGTCCGCCCGGGACAACGCGCCAAGAAGGCCCCTCAGTTTCCTTCTTAGCTTAGGGCTAAAACCACTGGAGAATGGGCAAGTACTTGCCATAAAGTGATGGGAACTGAGGCAGAGTGCTGGGAAAAGCAGGCTGGCAACCACCACTCAGCAGCCCGAGACGGGGCCTGTGGCGGGAATACCTCCTTGCCAATGGCTGGGGCATACACAGGACCCGTGCAGGCACCTGTGCAATTGTATGGGGCTCAGTATTTTCTCCGCTTTAGAGAGCCTGAAGCACGTGGCCCTCCTCCTCTGTGGGGAAGGATGGGGGTCCTCTCACTGAGGCAGGAGGGGGTGTGGAGGCGAACTGCCCTGCCAACTGGCAGACCCCCACCACAGGGGGTCCACAGCCCCTGCTGAAGGCAATCTTGCTCCGTGTCCCATTTGTGCTCGGCTGTTCCCCTGGCGACTCTGACACCAGATGCGGCAGGCAAGTACGGAGCCCTCCCAAGGACTGGCAACTGTGCAGGTGAGGTGGGGCAGTGACAGAATTCAGAAAGAAACCTTCACATAGATAATCAAAGTTTGACAAGGATGGGACGAACATCAGCAGGCTACGGTCCATATGGCCGCAGAGTTGGACACAACTGAAGCAACTTACCACACGCGGAAAAAGCACATGAGATCAAGACCAGCAAGCCAGCGAGGAGTGGAAGCAGCACTGAGCCTCCAGGAGCCAGGCCTGGCTGGGACCTCAGCGATCACACCGATTTGCCCACGCCTGAGCCAGCAGGCACCTTCCACCCTCACAGCCACCACTCCACTGCCTGGGGTCGGGGTCAGACTTCTGGCTCCTCCCTTTAAACGTCATCTGGATTTCACATCGGTCTTTTGGCTCCCAGGGCTTCTGTCGCTGGGCTGACACCCACCCACCTCCACTCTTAGCTCCTTCTTGGAAACCCTCATCTAAACTGTCCTTCCAGCTGTGTTCATCTGGTGAGCAGCTGGTACCACTCCTGAGCTCTACTTAGTAAACACACAGTATTTTCTTTTCTGTGCCTGAGAACCTAGGTCTGGAGAAAAAAAAAAAATCCACACCCCCAACTGTGCATGTGGTTGGTGGGTGTCTGCCAGTTGGCAGGGCAGTTCGCCTCCACACCCCCTCCTGCCTCAGTGAGAGGACCCCCCCTACTTTCCCCACAGAGGGCCACGTGCTTCAGGCACGTTTTAAGCAGAGAACATGCTGAGCCCGATACGATTGCGCAGGTGCACGCACGGGTCCTGTGGACGCCTCAGCCCTTGGCAGAGGTACCCCGCCATAGGCTCTGTCTGAGGCTGCCGAGTGGCAGTGCCAGCCTGCCTTCCCAGCACCCGCCTCAGCTCCCATCAGTTTAAGGGAAGGGCCCACTGGCAGCCAACAAAAGCCACCCATCCTGAGGATTCTGAGGAAAAGCCGGCTTCATTTACTGCCACTTCTGAGAAGACTGATCAACTCTTCCTTCCAACTATCATTTTCATTACCAGGGAGCTCATTTTACCTAGGTGACTTTTAAATCTCAGAAGTGGAGACTAGCTTTATTCCCATCAGTATCTGATTCCTTTAGCTGCCTATTTCTATTCACTTTCAAAATTAGACTTAAAAAAGAGACAGCTTATCTGTCCACTGGGACCACAGCCCAAGATTAGGGGGGAAACAAGGTAGCAGCCAGGACCCCGCGCTATTCCCGCCAGAAACCATCACCAAGTTAGCATTCACCCACCCCCATTCTCAGAGACAAAGGCCATTTTGAGAATTTTAAAAATTTTAATACAGTTCAAAGCAGCGTGCGTGGTTCACTTCAGTTCCTTCACGGCCAAACCTAGAGGCAAAGACACACAAATGTGAGCCAATCAGAAGACTCGACTCATCTGAGTCACTGCTACCTGTCTGGGTCTGGCCCTTGGGCTAAAGAGGGCGCACAAAGCTCGGAAATTACGCCCACCAGGGAGGTCTGCTTCAAACCTAAGTTAGTGCTTGATAATCAAACGCTCCCGCTGGCCCTTCTCAAGGTGTTCCAGTCAATGTTCACACAGGAAGCAGTGCTGGCTGATTTGGGCTGTGAAGACGTGGCCTGGGGAACCTGGCTGGGCTCCAGGCTCCCAGCTGCTCTGCCAAGCCTTCCACCACCAGGACGGCCCCTCTGCTTAATCCACCCGCATCGCCAGCTGTGTTCACTAAGTTTCTCAACCAGCGAAAACGGGGGCCACCGATACCAGCACCTCCCTACCCTGCAGGGCCATGGTGAGGATGAAATGAGCGACCCAGGGAGTAAGTGCCAGCAGCTAAGACGCTGCATTAGAAAGGCATGGTTCCCTCTGGATCTAACCTCTGAGAACTGCCCACGTGACACCAACAGCAGCAGCAGATACTTAGGCAAACCAGAACGGGCTCTCCTGACTCTGGAGACAGGTCAGCAAACTGGCTGGTGACACAGGCCCCTCCCACGTCGCAGGCCGTCGGCACCCCCCACCACGGCTTCCGCCTACTCGCCTGGGGGCAGGGACTGCTTCAGCTTCTCTGCCTTCTCTTTGTCTGTGATGACCAAGGTGTAAAGGTATCTGCTGCATCGAACTTTAAACTTCACATTGTCCTTGTTTTTCTTGATCTTGACAGCTACCAGAGAGACCAGAGTTAGTAACAAGACTGTGTCACAGGAAAGACGTCACACAGTCCACCTGCTGTTTGATTCTTCTGCACAAAGCACCTGCACAAAGCACCCGGGACCGCTGAGCTCACCTCCCTCACTGTCCCTCTGATGAAACAGAAAATAAGATCCCCCAACCCCTCTGACCTCAGTGTCAGAAATCTACATTTTCCTTGGATCAACACTCTAGAACCTGAGTTAAGGTCTGTATTTGTAACACAAGTGGGATCTGGTACAGTGAATACACTCCAAACCACCCAGTATCCATCTTATATGGCTTTAAAATTCTGTATCAGGACCACAGCTTGGACAATAAAGAGCCCTAAGTGTGCCCCAAACTCAACAGCATGCGGTTTGAAATTTAGCGAACAATCTGATTATGTACAACCGTCAATGCATTTACTATAAGGCCAGCAGCTATTGGAAGCGGAAGACAGCCTCTTCCAGGTTATTCTTGTCTGGAACCCTTCAAATTGCTCATTCTGACTCCCATAGCGCAGGCTGACCTGGCCACACGACACGCAACTCCATCTCTGCCAGTAACTGCTGAAGGGGCAGGGCATGTCACAGGAAGCAGAAACTGTGGCTGAACCTGCCCAAGACACCGGCTGCCTCGGCTCACTCACATTCTAATAAATCAGGACCGTGGATTTTTACTCAAACCAATCTACTCCCCTATCTTAACATTCCTCTCAAAGCTAAATATGCTGTGTTTTTCCTAGCAGCTGCCGTACACCAGTAAACTGAACTCTCACAAGGTCAGATGTAAACATCTCTGAAAAAATGTTTACTCAACAACATATGTGGAGAAGGAAACGGCAACCCACTCCAGTATTGTTGCCTGGAGAATCCCAGGGGCAGAAGGAATATACTCAAAAGCACTGAAAGGAGGGACAAGAGATATTTTACATCAAAACTCACAGCAACATTACTCACAAAAGCCAAAGGCAGAAACCACCCAAATGTCCACGTTATGCTAAATGAACGAAGTCGGTCATGAAAGGACAGATGCTGCATGATTTCACTTGCATGAGGTACTGACAGTGGTCAGGGTACTACAGACAGCAAGAATGGTGGTCGCCAGGGGCTGGAGGGAGAGAGTCACAGACCAGTACTGGCCCAAGACCTGTTAGGAACCAGGCTGCCTGGGAGGAGGTGGGCGATGGGTGAAACCCAAGCCATCTCCCCAAGCCCGTGGAAAAACTGGTCCCTGGTGTAAAACGGCTGGAGACTCTAGGTTAATGGGTTATAGTTTTACAAGATGACAATTTCTCAAAAAGCATGGCTGCACCACAATGTGAATATATTCAAACACAGTACATACACTGCACACATAAAAATGGTACATTTTATGTTATTTATTTTGCACTTACAACTATGAAGACAATTTTAAGTTTATCTAAAAAAGACTTCCTGGGCACCTATCATATCCGGGAGAACATGACCCCTGCTTTCACAGGTCACACTTTAACATCAAACTCCCAAACAGAACAGTAATGCAAAGCAGTCTGATGAATCTGGTGTCATCTCTTCACCGTTCTAAAATTCTCTACTGGGTCATTTGGTCTGATCCTGGCACCAATCCTGAGAGGCAGGTATCACCCCCTCTTCTACAGAGGCAACGGTGGGGTCATGGATCCCATGGTCACCCACTGGTAGAACTGGCCTTTGAGCCCAGGAAGTGACAGCAAATTCCCTGGTCTGGTCTAAACCTGACTGAAGCTTCTCTTCGTGTTTAACTCTAAATAAAAAAAAATACGAGCACGTGGTCACCTGCGGTTCCCACAGTACCAGAGGCTCAAAGTCAACGGCCTGTTTCAGGTAACAAGGACACAACTACGATTCTCCCCGCCCCACCTCCAAATCCCCAAAAGGCTCTCCCTCGAGCCACCGCTTCACCCCACCACTACGACAGAGCGTCAGAGACCTCAGTGCCTTAGATCACCTCACCCCGTCTGGCCAAGAGTACCCTACTTTCACAAGTTACCCAACTTTCCCTTTAGGGCGTTATCTGGGAGGGGAGGCAAACTGCAAGTAGCAGCCCAAAAAAGATGTGTTAAAGCTACACAATGTCTGAGTCCAGACCCAGTGCTGACCACGGGCTCCCCAAACCTCCTTCAACAAAGAGACGAGAGGACTCCCTCTCACATTCAGGGAAAAGAGCGCGCACACACAAAGGCAGCTGGGCTGTCACATGTCCATCAAAGACTTGTTGCTTTATGTGTCTCCTATGAGTGACCCTTCCCCTTCGTTTACAACCCAGGACACCAATACACGGAGAAGAAAAATGACGTAGTTCACTGTGAACAGAACCTGTCCTGTCTCCGGCCCAGAACCCAACACGCAGCACTGACTCCGAGCTTGTGAAACTTGCGTTTCCAGACGTGCCCCCAGCAAGAACCTCCACTCTCCCGGAGTTTGTGGGAACTTGAGTTTCATGTCTATCGACTCGGGGATGCTATCTAACCATCTCATCCTCTGCCGCCTCCTTCGCCTTTTGCCTTCAGTCTTTCCCAGCATCGGGATCTTTTCCAACGAGTCAGCTCTTCACATCCGTTCACAGTACCCGCCACACACCAAACAAAAACACCCCTGGGGACCCTCCTTAAAGAAGAGAACACACCCCGGACCCAGCGTCTTGTCTTACGGGAAACAGACTGAGACCCTCGAACCCTGACAGCCGACAAGGGCAGAAGCGGCCGCCCGGCGCCGGCCCGCCGTTCCGGGGGGCGTCCCGGGGCCCGCGATCGCCGCCTCCAGTCCAGGGCGCCCACTTACACTTGGCGTCCTTGCGCCGGGCCGTGAGCAAGAAGTCCTTGATTTCCTCAATTTTGCGAGGCTGCAAGACAGAGCGAAGACAATCAGCCGCTGAGACGCATGTGCTGGGGATTCCAGCCCCGGCAGCCGCTTTCGGGCCCCTGAAGACCCTCGTAGAGACCGCCCTGCCTTCGCCCCCGTCCCGAGGGGAGTCCCAGGTCGTACTCACCATAGCGACGACACGCGGGGCGCGCGGCCGGAACCTGCAGGGAAGACAAGCGTTGGCGGCGTCAACGGGGGGCGCGGGCTCTGGCGGCGGCCCTGCCTCCCCGCCCCGCGCTCCCGGAATGCCGGCCCCATCGCACCCCACCCTCCCCCCGCAACACCTTCAACCCAGGACTGGGGTCCTCAGATAGCATCCGGCGCGGATGACCACGGATTACTACCCCATTCCCCAGGTACGGTACCAGAGACTCACGTTAAGGGGCGAGAAGCAAAGAGAGCGGAAAAGGAAGAGACTTCCGCTTCCGGGCAATTAAACCGTGCCCCAGAGGAAGCTGAGTACGGTGTCTGCAGAGGGTCAAGAAACCGCACAGGCGTTTGCCTTTCCCATGGCTCCTCTCTGCCCTCTTCTGGCTTAGATTAACAGCGCAGCTCCCTGAACGCAGCGGGCCGCCTCCCTGCCCCGACTCCTGACCGCCTCTATTCCTTCGCCCAAATCCCACCTTGCCTTTGCTAGGTTTTATTTCAGACCCAGTTTGAAGACCTGTGTTAGAACTTATTATCAACTACTTTCATCAGGCCTCTGTGTTGGGCACGTAGGCAGAGATTTTTTTCATTTAAATGAAGGGTTGTTCTCCTAAGTCACGTCCGAGTCTTTGCAACCCCATGAACATGCACACCGGGCTCCTCTGTCCTCCACTATCTCCCAGCTGCTGCTGCTGCGGCTAAGTCACTTCAGTCGTGTCCGACTCTGTGCGACCCCATAGACGGCAGCCCACCGGGCTCCCCCGTGCCTGGGATTCTCCAGGCAAGAACACTGGAGTGGGTTGCCATTTCCTTCTCCAACGCATGAAAGTGAAAAGTGAAAGTGAAGTCGCCCAGTCGTGTCCGACTCTTAGCGACCCCATGGACTGCAGCTTACCAGGCTCCTCTGTCCATGGGATTTTCCAGGCAAGAGTACTGGAGTGGGGTGCCATTGCCTTCTCCAGAGTTTGTGCAAATTCATGTCTATTAAGTCTGTGATGCTATCCAACCATCTCATCCTCTGCTGCCTCCTTCTCCTTTTGCCTTTAATCTTTCCCAGCATCAGGGTCTTTTCCAGTGACTCAGCTCTGATTCACATCAGGTGGCCAAAGTATTGGAGCTTCATCTTCAGCATCACCTCCCAATGAATATTCAGGTTGAAGGGACTCTCCTGTGTATATTTTAGAACCTCTTTCTAGGAAAGCGAAAGTGAAGTCGCTCAGTCGTGTCTGACTCTTTGCGACCCCATGGACTGTAGCCTGCCAGGCTCCTTCTGTCCATGGGATTTCCCAGGCAAGAATACTGGAGTGGATTGCCATTTCCTTCTCCAGGGGATCTTCCCTGCCTAGGGATTAAACTCGCAGCTCCAGCTCCTGCATTGGCAGGCTGGTTCTTTACCACTGAGCCACCTGGGAAGTCCATTTAAGAACTGGTACCATTGGGAACTCCTTGGTGGTCCAGTGGTTAAGACTACATTTCCACTGCAGGGGATGTGGGTTAGACCCCCTGGTCAAGGAACTAAGATTCCACTTGCTGGTGGTGCAGCAATAAATAAATAACTGGTACTACAAAAGCAAGTTAAAACCTGGAATAGCTGACCTCTGTGGAATACTCATCGGGCAGCCCCTGCATTAAGCATGTCACCCACAGGGCCTCTGTGATCCTCAGGTGTGCTGGTGAGGGGTGGCCTGCTCATTTACCCCAGTCTTACCCAGGGGAGAATGAAGGCTTGTCAGTTGCTGGGAGAGGTGACATCAGGACTCGAACACATGCTCCAGACTCCTGACAACTTCCTCCTGAGGCTGTATGTGGACTTGCAACATGCTGGCAGCTCTGGGAAGGCAGCATTCTCTCTGCCCCTTTGCTCCCTCGAAGCCTCCATCCCATCCTTGGCATTTTATTTTCTCGGCACAAATTTACCCTCAGCTCTTAGAGAACTGGCAGGCTCCGGGAAGCCTGAGGTTATTGATTTTATCTTTATCCTCCACTTCCATTTTATTTTTAACCTCCTTACAAATGTCTACATTTTATTATATTTGTTTCTCCCCTCCCATTTAATAACCGCACATCAGAATGTAATTGCCCTGTGGGCCTTATTACAGAGCAGCCCACCTGAAAGAGAAGGAGTCCTTTACCATGAACCTCACTTTGAACTCACCTCCCTCCCTCCTCGCTTTCCTCCCATTAGACGAGCCCCAGGTTGAGCATCTTCCTAGAGATGCTGGAGATAGAGGGAAAGATAAACCTGCAGTCGTTGCCCCTGGGAGATCGTGAGATCCTCTAATTGTGCTGGAGAGCCTTTTAAAAGAAGTCAGACTGTATTTCTGTGACTACAGATGCATCTAGGTGTTAACCATGAGAAAGGCTAATTGGTAGGGGCTTAATTTGAGAGTATCTGAAGGTCAGGATGCCTCAGCTCTGCACTGAGAAGGTGAAACTGTTAGTTGCTCAGTGTCGTGTCTGCCTCTTTTCAACCCCACGGACTGTAGCGCGCCAGGCTCCCCTGTCCATGGGATTCTCCAGGCAAGAATACTGGAGTGGGTTGCCATTTCCTCCTGCAGGGGATCTTCCTGACCCAGGGATCAGGCAGATTCTTTACTGTCTGAGCCACCAGGGGCCCGAGGAAGACACGGTCAGACCCACCAGGCTGACCTGATGGCCCCTCCGTCTCGTGCTGCTGCCTTTCTGGTCTTTTCTCCCCTAGTGCTCGGGCAGAAGCACCGGCCTTTTCAGCCCAGCCAGAGGGTTTCCCATGCACAATTCCCGAGTCCAGGCGTCTGCCTGCTCATCCTCAGTGCTCAGCTCTCCCCTCTCCTCCGGGGAGGACCCTGCATCTCTGCCTCGTGTCACCCGTCACCCATGCGGCAGTTACTCCCACGCGCCTCTCCATAGACTGTGCGGCAGTGTTAAACCTTTCATACATCTGCACCGATTTTCAAAATTTTTTAATAAAGGCAAGAATGAGGTTCTGCATTCTGCTGATAACTCTCCAAATGCAGGGCTCATAAAGCTACACAGTCTCTCAGAGTTTCCATGGAGGATCCTTCAGACGGATGCAGATCCATCTAGATCACCCACTATATGAAGGGTGGATGGATTGATGGAGGGGTGGTTGGATGAATGAATGAAGGGATGGAGAGAGGGAGGGAGAAAGGGATGGAGGGAGGGAGAAAGGGATGGAGAGCAAGGGAAGGGGAAAAGGGAGGATGGAGGGAGGATCAATGTGGACAGAGAAAAGCCCAGCACATAGTAGGTCCACAGAATATTTGTTGAGTGAATGCCTGGTGCCCCTCTCCTTCACAGGACCTGCAGGACAGGCACGGGAGCAGGGAGAGAAGCTGAACCCCCCACCCCACCCTCACACTTGAAAAAATCCCAGTGAAACTGTGCAATTCAGATTGGGACTTGCACCCATGGTCTTTTTAAAGTTAAATTTAATTAACTAATTAATTCTATTTTTGGCCACACTGGGTCTTCCTTGCCGCCAGGGCTTTCCTCTAGCTGCGATGCTCAGGCTTCTCACGGGGCGGCTTCTCTGCTGTGGAGCACAAGGTCTAGAGCGTGGGCTCAGTGGTTGTGGCCCTCGGACTGAGTTGCCCCGCGGCACGTGGGATCTGCCCGGACCCGTGTCTCCTGCACTGGCAGGCGGGTTCCTAACCACTGGACCACCAGGGAAGTTCCTGGACCTTCCTGTTGGCAGCAACCCCAGAGACAGACATTCACCCTCTTGAATTGCCTAAGAAAAGACCATAAACGTCTAGTAACACAAAGACATCTGNACGGTGGACGCAGGGCGTGGCCCGAGGGCCTGAAAGACCTTCCTAGGCCTCCATGTTTTCTCTCCTTCAATTCATTCCATTCATTCAAACTGTGTCTAATGGGGCTTCCCCGGCGGCTCAGTGATAAAGAAGCTGCCTGTCAATGCAGGAGCCGTAGGAGGCATGGGTTCTATCCCTGGGTCGGGAAGATCCCCCGGACAAGGGGATGACAGCCCACTCCAGTATTCTTGCCTGGGAAATCCCATGGACAGAGGAGCCTGCGGGGGACTACAGTCCATGGGGTCTCAAAGAGTTGGACACGCCTGAGCGACTGAGCACGCATGCGCGAACTCTTTTTCCGTGCCAGGCCCTGGACTGGAATAACCAGGCTGGTGGGGTTTGGTGTTTCAGTCCCGAACAGCAAGGGCTGTGCCCGCAGGCACGACGGTCGTCCTGGGGGTGCCCGTGGGGGAGCTCATGGTTTCTGTTGGAGCCGGGAGGCAGGAGGAGCGGGGCGGGGGGGAGGGGGGCGTCTCTAAATGGCCGTTCCCACTCGACGCTGCTCTGCGAGGCCGGGCTTGTCCACGGCAGACATCACCCTGCAAAAACCCGTGCCTGCTTGCAGTCCCGTCTCCGTCGCTTGTTCTAAAGCAAGGAGCGTGTGTGGGGGGATCACGGCCTCCCTGTCCTCCCTCACGGGGCTGCTGGGACGCCCCAGTGGGAGAGTGAGAATCAGAACCACTTTGCCTGCCTCCCCCCAGGATCGGAAAATCGCCGCCCAGCCCTGGGTGTAGTTCCCACCAGCGGCCACACGAGGGTGCTGAGGCTGTGACTGGAAATAGAAAGGGACCAACCGGCCGTTGTCTGCCGTGAATCCTAAAACCTCCGACTGAGAGCACTTAGATAAATTAGAGGTAATATTTGTATGGTATTTCATACCTGACGGGGTGCTCTCATATCTACCAGCTCATATAATTTCTAAGAGGCCCCCAAGAGGCCCATGCCGTCGGCTGCCGGCAGGGCTGGCCTTTAAACCATCCTGGCTGGGGGTTGTTTATTAAATCTTAAAGGTTTTCAGCCCGGAGAGGAGAGGGTAGGGTGCCTCTGGCTTAATTTGGTTACTTGGGGAAAGGACGCGGAGGGAGGGAAAGAGGCAAGGTGTGGGCACGGGGCTGGTGCTTTTATGGGGGCGTGGGGCGTGGACCAGAGTTGGCTAAAGGGATGCAGGGTTCTCCCCTCCTCCACCCTCAAAGAGTAACCTCAGGTCCTCCCGCCCCCAGACCCGATGGAGGTTTAATATTCTCCCAGCTTCTGTGCTAAAAGTCATAAGGCATGGCTGGTCAGACTGGAACAGGGTTTCTCAAACTCAGACTGCCGACTTTTGGACCAGGTCATTCTCCTTTCTTTGCGGGTGGGGTGCAGGTGGGGAGCAGTTCTGAACACGTAGCATGTTCGGTTCTCCCTGGCCTCTACCTGCCAGATGCCAGACCCTCACCGCTGTGACAGACAAGTGCATCTCCAGACATGGCCATGTGTCCCTGGGGAGCAAAAAAATCGCTCCACATTGAGAGCCACTGGACCAGAAACCAAGAGGACATTCTTTATTATAGTGATGTCTGTCCTGCACCTGTGGCCAGGTACCTCTGTGCTCGGGCCACTGTCTCTGCACCCAGTGGCCATTGCTCATGTTGGTACCTGGCCCTTGCCCTGGGATGCTCAAAGGCCCAGCATCTCACTCTGCTGCTTCTGTGTGGGTCTCTGGCTGGCTGGCAAGGACGGGTGGGGGCAGGTAGTCAGTCACAGGAGCACGTGCAGGCCCATCGGCCAGAAGCCCTGGCCCTTAGGAATGGTGCTGTCTTCTTCAGCAGCGGGAGGACCATTTCCAGTGGGGGTCCTTGTGTGGAGATGGGGTCTGGTGAGGGAGGGGTGGAGGCAGGAGGCAGAAAAGGCTCCCGGGGAGCTTGTTGTTAAGGGGCCTTTAAGGGAGCAGACGCCCACCTGCCCAGACAGCTCATTGACTGATTAAATGGATTCAACCATTTTTAGAGAGCTCCTTCTGTCAGCTCCTTCAGGCAGGTGGTGAGGACACAGAATTAAGATCCGGTCTGCGTCTCTGTCTCCATCTCCAGAAACTCACAGACTAGCAGGAGAGGCACAGATAAGGCGTTAAGTGCTTCTCGTTCATGGGGGGACCAGATGGGGACCGTGGGAGCCTAATCCAGGCTGGGGGGTGGGCTGGGCTCAGGGAAACCCTCCAGGAGGAAGTTATGATGGTGCCCATTCACAGCTGAGAGAACCCACCCAACACGCTCAGCAGCCTGCCAGCAAGAGCAAACCTTCACCGCAAATATGTTCCAGGGGGGGACAAGAACAGCAATGAGCAATAATAGCAAAAGAAGCAATGAGACTGGGTGGCCTCAATCCAGGAGGTCTTCCTGGAGAAAGTGCTGCAATAGTATTTGAGGAAAACTGTCCCTGGAGACGGAGACTCTTGGATTGAAGTCCTATGTCTGACTGAGAGAGCTTGAACCAGCCTCCTGGCATCTGTTGAGGAGGGATATGAATCCTTCTAAGACTTCCCAGTCCCTGTGCTGAGCGGGTGGAGTCCACACAACTGTCGGCAGCGGAAACCACAATAGCAAGTGCTCAGCCCAGCAGCTGGCTCTGGGGCCGTGAACCGAGTGTAAGCCAAGAGCTGCCAATTGGGCCTCCTGGGTGGCTCAGTGGTAAAGAATCCGCCTGCCAACGCAGAAGACATGGGTTCGATCCCTGGTCTGGGAAGATTCCACATGCCACAGAGCTACCAAGCCCGTGTGCCACAACTACTGAGCCTGTGCCCTGGAGCCCAGGAGCCACAGCTATTGACGCCCAAATGCCCTAGAGCCCGTGCTCTGCAACCAGAGAAGCCACCGCAACGAGAAGCCTGCGCACCGCGGCTCGAGGAAAGCCCCACAGCAAGGAAAGCCCAGCACAGCCAAGAAAGTAAGAGCTGCCCGTGGACCTGGAGCACTGCAGCCCGGAGAAGAGCGGGTGCGCAGGGGCGGCCCGGGCCTGGGTGAGCCAGGCCCCTGGGGAAACCCGCTTGCTGCCCAGAGGGGACCCAGCCAGTGTGACGGATGCCACTTCCTCAATTCCCCTGCCTCCACCCCCCGCTTTACACCTGAACAGCTTCCATGGTGTCCAACCCGCTACCGTAAAAACGATGGATTAGACAGCGTCCACCAGCAGCGAGGAAAATAATATCAGGGCAGAGGAGGATCCATCCTGAGCGTTAAGAGATGCCAAGGATGAGGGGCGCATGAGAGAGAGGAAGAAAAAAGGGCACAGGCCCTTCAGAGTACGGGACGGGGGCCCGGCCTATCGGCTTGTATATATCTAGCATTATGCAGCGGGAGAGAGAAAATCAATAGAGCTGTCAGCAGTGTAATGCATTCAGTATTGCAGACAGCCCCATCTCAGGATGCTCCAGACAGATGCTTCAAATTAAAAGAAGGGGGGAGGGCGAGAAGGACTGCAGGGGTGGGAGACAAACGCCCTGACAGACCAGAGGGAAAGAGGGGGCATGACTGAGGTGCTGGGAAAATTAAAGTCCATTAATCACCAGGTTGGGAGAGCATCCTGGGTGTGACTGAGTGGAGACCCTTATCATCAGGGGTGGCCGGGCCTTGGCCCCCTCTGCCAGGCGGGCTTCATGGTGGGGTCGAGGGGAGAGCAAGGGGACCTCTAGTGTGAGCAGGCGGTGGAGGCTGGGCTAGACTGGGGGGTGGGGGTGTGGGAAGCCAGATGCAGTGAATGATAACCTTTGAGCCTCGGGGGGTGTGGGAGTCTTTGGGTTGGTGGGGGAGCTCCATGGACCTGCCCGCTGGGTGCCTGCTTTCCCCTCAACCTCAGAGTCTTTGGCCTCCTACCCCTTCCTCACAGGAACCCCAAGGGCTGCCTGCATCACCCCCTCCTTGGAGGTGACCCCCGTCGGGGAGCCTGGATGGTCTGTATGTCCTTTCCAGAACTAGCTGCCTCAGGACGTAGGAGTCCTGGGGAAGACATGTGCATGGGGCGGGTGTGTGTGTGTGTGTGTGTGTGTGTGTGTGTGTGTGTGTGAGTGAAGGGTCCCCCTCCCCTCCTGCAGGAAGCCCCGTGCACCCACCCTCCCCGAAGGGTTCACCTGCCCAGGGTGGGCCAGCTGAGAAGAAAACCAGAGCCGAACCCACATCGAGGTGCGGTAAGGGGGCAGGACAGTGCTGCCTCCAGGACGGGGTCACTTCTCACCAACAGCGGCCCCCACTGCCCTCTGGATGCTTCCAGACCCTGACCCGAAACAGCACAGCAATGACTGGAGGGTCATTTTCACCTCGGGGCTGGTTTTAAGCAGGTGTGGGCAGCAGGTGCAGGGAGCCAAGAGGGAGACCGACCCCTGGCCCAGAGTGTGGCAGGGGCGCCTCAGCTGACCGTGGACAGTCTGTGGTCGGGGCGGGCACCCCACTGGCCAGGGCGGCCCCTCCCACCGAAGGATGCGCTCAACTCTCTGCAGCCTCTCAGGGGGAGGCTCGCGGTCTCTCCCGGTCCCTCCTCCCGCCATCCTGCCTTCTTTCCACGTCTCCCTTTTCTCCTCCCTCCCATCTCCCCCCAGAGCACCCCACTGGCCGAACCCCACAGGGTCATGGTCACCCACGGGGTGGAGTTCCGATCTGGAGGGGCCAGCCGGCCTGTCCTCACGGCGCCGGGAGCCCGTGGACAGCAGCCTCCGGGGGCCCCGTGACCCAGTGTGACTGCCTCGCCATCCGGCTCCTCCGTGGTTCCCAGGCAGAGGAGTGCTTGGGCTCAGTCTGTCCCGTCTGTCCCGCCCCTCATCCCAGCGTCCGCCGCACTCCCTGGTCCCCGGAAGCCCTGCCATGTCTACAGGTACAGGTTGGCTTCCACAGGCGCAGACGCGCCCTGGCCGGTGGCCTCCCGCCCACCCGAGAAACAGGTAGGCCCGAGGCTGCTTCACCGGGTAGCATCGCCCAGGACACGTTCTACCAATTAAACTGGTGACCGCGTTTCCAGAAGCAATTACAGAGAGCTGCACTGCCTTCCAAGGCAAGGCGATGAAGGAGAGTGCTCGAGGCCGCCGTGCGGCTGGAAGCAGGGCCCCGAGGGGTCAGGGGACCGCAGGGACGCCAGGCTGCGCGGCTCCCTGCCCCCGAGCGCGCATGCGCCAGGGGGGAGGGTCCCGCGGAGGAAGCCGGAGTTGGGAGAAGAGGAAGCTGGCCACGGCTGGGGAGGCCCGCAGCCCCGGGCTTCAGAGCCACAACTGGGTCTCTGAGCCCCTGTCCTTCCCGTCTCCTTCTCTGGTGTGTGCCAGTTTGGAAAAAAGATTTGTGCGAATCTCGGCTCCATCCCAGGGGTCAGGGAGGCATGCTGTCTGCTTGGGAGCGAGAAGGAGCGAACTGCCCCATCTCCATGGTGAGAAACCTTTGCCATGGTCTCCTTGACTTCCTCACAAAGGCTGGTGAGCCGCCAGAGGCCTCCCACGTGGCGAAAGTCGCAGCACCTTTGGAGCAGGAAGGATGGAGTCAGAAGTGGCCCCGACAGCCTCCTTCCTGGCTGAGGCTTGGGAAAGGGCGGGGGGTCTGGCTGCTCCCCACGTTCTCCAACTCCAAGGAACAACCCTGCCCGCCCTGCCTTCCTTCCACCTGCTCTCTGGGTCACCTGTAAGGTAACATGGGCTCCGCTCTCATCCTCCCCCTGGGCTCCCCAGGCGGCTCTACCTGGGTAAAGAGTCCACCCGCCAATGCAGGAGACTCAGGAGATGCAGGTTCGATCCCTGGGTGGGGAAGATCCCCTGGACAAGGCTACTCACTCTGGTAGGCTTGCCTGGAGAGCTCCATGGAGAGAGGAGTCTGGTGGGCTACAGTCCACAGGGCGGGGCTGCCATGAGTCAGACATGACTGAGCAGGACACATCCCTCCCCGAGAGGTATCCTGTGGTCTCTGGAAAGTTCGCCTCCCAGACGGAGAGTGATAGAAAGTGGGGGGAAGCCTTAAGGGCAGTTGGGTCTCCCCAGTTCTGCTTCCTTCCTTCCTGTTCAGAATTCCCCCTCAGCCCTTGCGGGGCAGACTGCTGCTGTAGACGGCTTGTGAAGGACGGCAGGTGAGGTCTTGGGGGGATACCTGGGGGCAGGGGCGGGAGTGGACAGGGGTGGCTGCGCTTGGGTGTCCACACAGACTTACCTCTCTGGGAGCAGGGCCCTGGTGGGGTTGGCAGAGGTGCTGTGTGCGGCTGGCTGGAGTCACATCAGACCTGGAGAGGAAGCCTAATGGGAGAGCGGTGGGGGACTCTGTTCTGTGGGTTCAGGGTAGATCAGGACAGAAGCTCCAGGGGCTTCCCGGTGGCTCAGTGGTGAAGACTCTGCCTGCAGTGCAGGAGACCGGGTTCTACCCCTGGGTCGGGAAGATCCCCTGGAGGAGGGCATGGCAACCCCCTCCAGGATTCTTGCCTGGAGAATCCCATGGACAGAGGAGCCTGGTGGGCTACAGTCCAGGGGGCTGCCAAGAGGCAGACACGACTGAGTGGCTAACACACACACACACACAGACACACACACACACACACACAGTGTCAGGTCCCACGCCAGATGCTGTGGGACCCCTATGTCCCACCATCCTCACCACAACCCTGCATTAAGCAGGATCACAGTCCTTGTGTTGCGAGTGAGGTCCTTGAAGCCCAGAGATGTTAAGCCACTTGCTCAAGGTCACACAGCCAGAAACTGAAGGAAAAGGATGCCTCGTTACTTGAGCTTGCAGCATTTCCCCATTGAATTCCTCAAAGCCCTTTGCCTCCCTCTCCAGGGACTAAGTGGGTCACAGGTTGCTGAGAGAAGATTCAGAATGAGGTGATTGCTTGAATTTACAAATATGTATCGGGCCCCTGCTCTGTGCTGGAACTGGGGGCGTCTCGAGATGAGTAAACACGTTTTCTGTCCTCATGGGCTTGGCCTCTAGTCTGCGAGGTGGGCCAGTTTCTCGGCTCTGAGTTGGTCCCATGGCTCCTGGCTAAAGAGACAGCAGCCACGTCACTCCCCCTTCCCCATAGCAATGTGGCCCTGCCCCATGGCCTTGGATGGTCGGGCCAAGCTGGGACAATCCTGGGTTTGGAGCCAGAGCTTAGAGCCTCTGATTTGTGGCTGATCATCTGGGGTTTCACGCAAACCAGGGGTCCGAGGAGCCTCTTCCGGAGAAGCCAAGACGGGTGCGTGAACCCTGGTGTCAGGGACTGGAGCTTGCGAGAAAGAGGAGATGGCGCACACCTTCCTCGCGGCTGTGACAGCAGCTTAACTTTCTCCCCCAGGTCCTGTGACGTTCACCTCTCCCCACACACCTATTTCTACCTTTTCTTGAAGCTGCTTTGAATTGGTTTGCATTTTGGGAACCAAAGGACCTCTAGGATAGAAGACAAGGTGAGAAATCCAGGTTGGGCACAGGATCCCTGCACTGGAGGGGACGGGGAAAGGGGGTTGGGATCTTCCTGGGGTCTCACCAGGCAGAGAAGAGAGACAGAAGGGGCATCCCAGGGAGCAGGGGCAGCCTGGCAGAGGGAACAGCCCATGCAGAGATGGGCGGATGTGCAAGCGGCCGACATGCCCTGGGGCCTTCCTACCGGGGTGTGCTGGCAAGTGATTAAAGTCTGGCTTTCTGACCTAAATTAGAAATCAGTCATTCATTTGTAGCATGTGCTGATTCCCACGGTGTTAGTCCTCCCACCACGGTCATTTCAGGCTGCTGATGTGATGTCAGTATTTGAATGTGGAGTGAACGGTTCCGGTTCCCGTGAACTGGTCAGAGCCAATTCGAAGAGACCACCCATGAGGTCAGCAGGTCACCACCTAAATGCAGGGGCCATGTGGAGAGGACAGGAGAGGAGGAGCAAGGTGGGGTTGGGAGGGTTTTTAAATTTTTTTCCCTATTTTTATTTTTTGGCTGCGCTGGGTCTTCGTTGCTGTGCCTGGGCTTCCTCAGGCTTCTCACTGCGGTATGCGGGCTTCTCACTGTGGTGCCTTCTCTTTTTGCAGATCACGGACTCCAGGACCCACAGGCTTCAGCAGTTGTGGTGCATGGACTTAGCTGCCCTGCAGCTTTTGGGATCTTCCCGGACCAGGTACAGAGCCTGTGTCCCCTGCATTGGCCGGCAGATTCTTAACCACCAGGGAAGTCCCTGGGAGGGGTTTTGAATGTCATGTTTGGGAGGTTGAGCTTCAGTCTGAACTGGCAGAAGCCCAGGCTTGATTGGGTGCTTTGGGCAGGCGGGTGAGTCAGCAGCTCTAGGCTCTTTGTGGTCTACTGCGGCCTGGCCTCCCCTTAGGCTGGTCCCCCAAACAACCCCAGGGGGGGTCTGTTCGAGCTTGGTACTGGACCTGGGGAGGGGTGCATAGCATTCGAGGTGCACTTTCCCAAGAGAGAGGGAGAAGGTGAGCTCTGGCTCCCCCAGCCAGCTGTGCCGTGGGCCCATCCCTCATCTTAATGAGTCCATCCAAATCTCGTTTGCTAATGAGGATTTTAATGGTCACAGGCTGACAAGCGAGACTGAGAGGGGAGACGGGAAGGTCGTTACGAAAATGAAGTGCGCAGCTAAGTGGCACGCCACTGCCATCCACCTGCCCGCCCAGAGTGAGTGACTGAGATGTGGGAAGCAGGCTTGCCTCACTTCGGGGGCTCCTGGCTGGGCCGGGGGTCAGCACCACGGACAGTGCACAGCTTCGTTCTGCCTTCCCTTGGTCTGGCATGCCAGCTCCTTCTGCTCCCTGATAAAGTTTGTTTTTCCTAAGCCTCAGATGGGGTGTCATCCCCCTCTGGAAATCTTGAGTGCAGCCCCAGATGGTGTCTGCAGGGCAATCTTTGCACAATCTCATAGCACCTATGACAGGGTGTTAAAATGCTTCATTTCCTTGGCTGTTTTCCCTACTCGTTTGTAAACCACCTTGAACGCAGGGTGTGTGTTACCCTCTCCATATTCCTGAGTCCTGACCATGTGCCCAGCACTTAGGGAGAGAATTTGTTGGGGAATGAATGAATGAACCGGTGAATAAATGCATAGACAGACAATGTGTTCAATGAAAGAATCAATGGGCATAGAATCCTGGCTAGGTTATTGAAGGGGTGGGTAAAGATGCAGATAGAAAAAGAAACATCCCATACTTTAGACTGCACAAGAGGGACAGGGACGTTAGAACAGAGATTTCCAGAAATCTTCTTATCCATCCCTTTACCATTCTTCCTTGGTACAGAGCTATTCAGATAAAAACAACACATTTCAGCATTCTGTACAGTTATCTGTGGCCATGTGACTAATTTATAGCCAACAGGGTGTAAGGAGAAATAGTGTAAGGGGAGGGGGCGTGCCCTTCTCCTTCCCTTCCTTCTTCCTATTGGCTGAAGTGTAGGTTCAGCTGGAGCTGGAGCAGCCATCTAAGACTTTGAAGCCAGCCAGTTTGGAGCAACAGGATAGAGTGTCTTTTGAGGACTCTGTAGAACACAGCTTCTGGTCTAGTCCTGGGTTGCTAACATCTAGATTGCAGTGGGAGAGAGAAATGAATCTCTAACATTTTATCCTGTTATTTTAGGCTTCAGTGCTTAACTGAAACTAATCCTAAGTAATATGTGCACCACCATGAAAGAGAGACTCAAACATAAGAATCAAGGGCAGATCAGTATGATGCAAATTATGGAGGCTGGCACTGAGCAGGGTTGTCCGAGATTCACCCAGGGTGACAACTAAGCTGGGTGCTGAAGGAGGGAGGAGGCGTGTGAGGAGCAGTAATGTGAGGAAATTGTTAGAATGCTGACTGGGTTCCCAAATCCCAGGTCCCTGTCCTCATCCAACCTGGAGGAGCTCCCTGCATTTCTTCCTGTATTCAGCATCCTGGAAGAAGGAAGGTAGCTAGTCAGGGCTCCCAGGTCAGGGCAGCCAGGAATCCTGGCAGGGCCTTGGGACACCAAGAAGACCAGACTCCAGGAGACAAGCGCCAGAGCCAGATTGTGTCAGATCTGTGATTGCTTTCTCCATTTCCTCCCCCAAGTGGGGAGGCTCTCAGTCATGGCTGGCTGCTGGGTCCACCAGGCTGTGTCACTCTCCCATGGCCTGATTCTGTGCCTTCGGGGGAGGAGAGCTTGGCGAGGCACGCCAGGGGGAGGTATGAGGGGCAGGATTCACAGATGACCTCCAGTGACCCACAGCCTTCAAAATTCCTCTCCCTTGAGTGTGGGGGGGCCTCTAACTCGCTTCTCACCCAGAGTATATGGCAAAGGCAAAGGACTTTTGCAGATGTCATTAAGATCCCTAGACAGTTAACGGTTGAGTTAATCTCAACGGAGATTATCCTGGTGGTCCTGATCTAATCAGGGAAAGGGACCAGAAATAAGAGCCCCCCCCCCTTGTCCTCATCCAACCTGGAGGAGCTCCCTGCATTTCTTCCTGTATTCAGCATCCTGGAAGAAGGAAGGTAGCTAGTCAGGGCTCCCAGGTCAGGGGCCTCTAACTCGCTTCTCACCCAGAGTATATGGCAAAGGCAAAGGACTTTTGCAGATGTCATTAAGATCCCTAGACAGTTGAGTTAATCTCAACGGAGATTATCCTGGTGGTCCTGATCTAATCAGGGAGAGGGACCAGAAATAAGAGCCCCCCCCCCCCTTCCTGCTGGATTTTGAAGAAGCAAGTTGCCAGGAATTCTATTGCTGCCAGGAAAAATGGATCCTACAAAGAATCATGTGTGTTTGCCAGGGGACTCCAAGCCTCCAAGGAGACCCCAGTCCCAGTCACACCTCGAGTGCAGCCTGGTGAGACCCCAGCAGAGGCCCCAGCTAGACTGTGATCAGACTCCTGACCCACAGAAACTTTAGTGTCATAAACACGTTTTGTTCGAAGCCACTACATTTGGAGTAATTTGCTATGCGGCCATAAAGATTTCATGCAGAGAGTCCAGCGTGTCTGGACTAACACTGCTTTGGCCCTGTCTCCCAGCCCACCTCTCTCAAGCTGGGATGTTAGACTGTGTGTGATCTCCACTTATGGCGACGTGATGATGAGGGAGAAAATTAAAATCCAAGATGGAGCGATTGGAGAACTGTAATCTTGGTGCACAGTGGTACTTAGATTTCCCATTATTGATCCCCTCAGTGGATATTCTCCAATCTCGTAATTACAGGAGGACATTTTCAATTTGGGCTGAATTGCCTCCCCTCCCCCCACGCCCCTCCTTGATTTCTCTGAGCTCACAGTAAGGCCAGGTGGGTTGTAGGCAGCTGTGGAGTCTAAACAAACAGTGCTAATCACTTTAATTGAAATCCAATCCCAGCCATAGGAAGGCTCCAGCAAGTGCTGTCTTCCTCTTGTCTCCATGGGTCAAAGGGTGGATTTTGCCCTAGATTTGAGGTTACTCAGGGCCATCAGCTTCCTGAGGCTGACCTCCTGTGAATTCTTGAGTTCCTGTTTAACCCTGGGAGATGCTGACAGCTGCTGGGGTCTCCTGAGCTACGTGTTATCCCCCTGCCTCTGGTACGATTTAAGCATCTCTGCCAGGACCCCTGGGCCAGCACACTGAATCCTCCATTCTCCACTTTGTTGGCCACCGGGCAGTCCTCCTTATCAGCTGGCTAACCCACTGGTTCTCGAGGTGGGAGGATCTGTTCTCCCCACCCCCAGGGATCCTGGGCAGTGACTGGAGACATCTTGGGGGTTACAACCTGGGAAGAGAGTGAGCAGGGACTGGGGATGCTGTTCCACACCCTCCGGTGCACAGGATGGACTCCGGGTGATCTGGCCCCAAATGTCAGTAAATAGTGTGGAGGCTGGGAAAAGAGAAATAAACATGGAGTCAGCATTGCTAAGAGAGCTCTCTGAAATGGATCGTGGAGGCCGTGCAGGAAGTGTGACTTATGCATGTCTCAGCCTGGCTGGAGTCTGACCTTTTGACCTGATGAAGTCACCCAGCCCATCTGCCAGAAATGCAAGATGCCTGTTGGACCCTTACCCTAAAATAACTTGTGGCGGTCTATCTACTTATCAGACCCCTGTCCAGAGCCCCTCCCACTATTGGCCAGGAGCATGGAAGGGAGAGATTGTCCCACGGAAGAAATTACCACTGCAGACACCAGGGAGACATATACTGCTCACGAAAAAACATTTTCCCCTAGCAAGCCCGTTAAACCTGGCATTTAACCAGGAATCACAAATCCCAGTCCCAGAGCGACCCTGCCGCTCTGTAGCCCAGGAATGCGGGGAGCCACTGGCTTTACAGCTTTGCTTCTCGTGGCTCCTTCCTCCAGTTTTTATCAGGAAAGAGGACTCCCTGGCTGCCTTCCTGGCTCCCGCCAGCCCCCGAGAGGCCACGACGCTTCGGCTCATGGAGTGTCTGCCAGGTTGGGCACTGAGGGTACAGAGAGTAACTCAGTTCGGGTAGAGAGTCTGCAGGACTCTTAAAGGACATGGTCCAATCCTGTCCCCATCTGAAGTGGGGGGCCTCCAGGGAGCACCTCTTCACTGGCATCATGTTGTCCATGGTCCTGAAAACTTGGCCAAAGCTGTTGAAACCCGCTGGGGCCAACATCCCAGACAAACACCTGTACAGATGAGACTTGAGGAAGGCCACCTGCCCAGGAGGTGACTCTGCAGGGTGACGCCTTCTCCCCTTAGAGAAAATGGCAGCAGTGAAGCTTCCCCGGAGGGTGACAGGCTGAGGGCCAGGAGAGGAGCAGCTGGTCCCCAGGGAGGGGGCCCGTTGCTCGGACCTCTCTAGTGCTTGCCATCTTCTTGTCTCTCCGTTTGCTCGTGTCCTTTCTGTAGAGCCTCCCTGTGGCCGAGGTCCTTTGTTTAAGGGACCACACATCCTCATTGGCCAGGTGGATGCCTCGTCTCCTGGCATGATAATTAAAGGCTCTTCTTTTCATGCCAAGAGATGTTCTGGCTTCAGTTACATGGGAGGGGGCCGTGAGGACACCTGGGGACAGTGTGGCCACGAGACAAGGGTCGTCTGCGGCTGGTGCAGGTTTGAGAACAGGCCCTTACTTGTCCACCAGCAAGTAAGTTCAGACCTTGAGAAGATGCGTGTAGAAACTTTCACAGCAGTTGACAAAGACATTTTATGGCTGATGATTTAATAGTAATAGAAATTAGATTTCTTTTGGTAAGTTATTTAAATTTCATTTTTCTAATAATTCCTTTTTATATTACTCTTACAGAGTGTTAATGGTGCAGCCATTTGAGAAAAGAGGTTGGCAGTTTCTAAAAAAGTTAAACGTCAGGACCTCCCAGGTAGTCCAGCGGTTAAGACTCTGCACTTTCACTGTAGGAGGCATGGGTTCGATCCATGGTCAGGGAACTGAGATCTTGCATGCTGTGTGGCTTGGCCAAAAAATTAAAAACAAATTAAACATATGGCCCCTATGTTTAAAGTTACCATATGACCCAGCAATTTTGGATATATACACATATATGGCTTCCTGTATGCAATCGACGTGAACATGGGCAAACTTCAGGAGACGGTGAGGGGCAGAGAGGTCTGGCATGCTGCAGTCCATGGGGTCACAAAGAGTCAGACATGACTGGGCAACTGAACAACAGCAACAATGACAGATGACTTCCCAGGGGGCACAGTAGTGAAGAACGTGCCTGCCAGTGCAGGAGATTCAGGCTGTATCCCTGGGTGGGGAAGATCCCCTGGAGGAGGGCGTGGCCACCCGCCTCAGTATTCTTGCCTGGAGAACCCCATGGACAGGGGAGCCTGGCGGGCTCAGTCCATGGGGTCATGAAGAGCCGGACAGGACTGAGTGAGCACACACACACAGCACTGCAGGTAGCCGAGAACCACCGAGAATCTTTTCAGACACGGGAACTAGGTTCCAGTCAAGGGCAAGGGAGGCCCTTGGGTGTCACAGCAGGGCGCCCAGGGCCCCAGGCGGGCCAGTGAGCTCAGCGTTAGGACAGTCACCCAAGCACCTGCTACTCTCTGTGACGGGTAACTCTGGACATCGGTCAGGTCATGAGAAACGGGGCACTTGGCGATCCTCCTGACACCTTGGTCCCCCAATACCTCACAGCAAAATTTCGA